AAATAAATAATGTATTTGTTTTATATTTTTGTGCTGTTGTTGTTCAGTGACCCCATGGCCTGCAGCAGGCCAGGCTTCCCTGTCCTTCACTGTCTCCTGGAGTTTGCTCAAACTCACGTCCATTGAGTTGATGATGTCATCCAACCATCTCATCCTTTGTCACCCCCTTATCGACCTGCCCTCAATCTTTCCCAGCACCACGGTCCTTACCAGTGAGTCAGCTCTTTGCATCAGGTGGCCAAAGTTTTGGAACTTCCACATCAGTCTTTCCAATGAATATTCAGGGTTGATTTCCTTTAGGATTGACTGATTTGATCTCCTTGCAGTCCAAGGGGCTCTCAAGAGTCTTCTCCAACACCACAGTTTGAAAGCATCAATTCTTCGATGCTCAGCCTTATCTTTGGTCCATACATGACCACTGGAAAAACCATAGCTGTGACTATACAGACCTTTGTTGACAAAGTAATGTCTCTGCTTTTTAATACACTGTCTAGGTTTGTCATAGCTTTTCTTCCAAGGAACAGGCATCTTTTAATTTTATGGCTGCAGTCACCATCTGCAGTGATTTTTGGAGTCCAAGAAAATAAAGTCTGTCACTGTTTACATTATTTCCCCATCTATTTGCCATGAAGTGATGGGACCAGATGCCATGATCCCCATTTTTTGAATGTTGAATTCTCAGCTTTTTCATTCTCCTCATTCACTTTCATCAACAGGCTCTTTAATTCCTCTTCCTTTTCTGCCTTAGGATGATGTCATCTGCATATCTGAGGTTATTGATATTTCTCCCAGGAATCTTGATTTCAGCTTGTGCTTCATCCAGCCCAGCATTTCGTATGATGTATTCTGTGTATAAGTTAAATAAACAGGGTGACAATATACAGCCTTGACATACTCCTTTCCCAATTTGGAACCAGTCTGTTTCTCACTGTTGCTTCTGGAGATGCATACAGTTTTCTCAGGAGGCAGGTAAAGTGGTCTGGTATTCCCATCTCTTTTAGAATTTTCCACAGTTTATTGTGATCCACATAGTCAAAGACTGGCATAGTCAATGAAACAGAAGTAGATGTTTTTCTGAAATTGCCTTCCTTTCTCTATAATCCAGTGGATGTTGCCAATTTGATCTCTGGTTTCGCTGCCTTTTCTGAATTCAGCTTGTGCATCTGGAAGTTCTCGGTGCACATACTTTTGAAGCCTTGCTTGAAGGATTTTGAGCATTACCTTGCTAGCATGTGAGATGAGCACAATTGTGCAATTGTTTGAACATTCTTTGGCGTTGCCCTTCTTTGGGATTGGAATGAAAACTGACCTTTTCCAGTCCTATGGCCACTGCTGAGTTTTGCAAATTTGCTAGCATGTTGAATGCAGCACTTTCACAGCATCATCTTTTAGGATTTGAAATAGCTCAGCTGGAATTCCATCACTTCCACTAGCTTTGTTCATAGTGATGCTTCCTAAGGCCCACTTGACTTCACACTCCACGGTGTCTGGCTTTAGGTGAGTGATTACACCATCGTGGTTATCTGGGTCATGAAGATCTTTTTTGTATAGTTCTTCTTTGTATTCTTGCCACCTCTTCTTAATCTCTTCTGCTTCTGTTAGGTCCATACTGTTTCTCTCCTTTATTGTGCTCGTCTTGCTTGAAATATTTCCTTGGTGTTTCTAATTTTCTTGAAGAGATCTCTAGTCTTTCTCATTCTATATTTCCTTGTATTCCTTTGCATTGTTCACTGAAGAAGACTTTCTCTCTCCTTGCTATTCTTTGGAAGTCTGCATTCATATAGGTATATCTTTTCCTTTCTCCTTTCCTTTCACTTCTCTTCTTTTCTCAGCTATTTGTAAGGCCTCCTCAAACAACCATTTTGCCTTGTTGCATTTCTTTTTCTTGGGGATGGTTTTGGTCACCACGTCCTGGAGAGTGTTACAAACTTCCATCCATAGTTCTTCAGGGGCTCTGTCTCCCAGATCTCATCTCTTGAATTTAATTTTCACTTCCACTGTAAAATGGTAAGGGATTTGATATAGTCATACCTGAATGACCTTGTGGTGTTCCCTGTTTTCTTCAAAGTAGCTACTTTTTTTGGTACTGTACTCAGTCATATTTTAGAAAGTATGAAAATTATAAAACTCAGTGGAACACATTTAATAAACCTAATGGTAGCAATGTCCATTTTTCTTTAGGACTATATAAAAGTTAGTAACATGATCAAGTTAGGTACAACAGTCAGGTTTGAAGTGAAGGAAATTTTAATGATTTTAGCTCCATAAGTGGCAATGAGTGCTAGTATGACTATGCAATTAGGAATCCTGAAACTGACACAGTTTCTAAATCTATGGTTTTGTTTGTAATGCCATGATTGAATTAGTACAATTTGATTTACCATGGGAAGAGTCCGTAAAGCATTTTGATATGCTGCCAAATATGGATAGCAATATTTAGCCTGCATGTCTATATTTTTCTTTTAAACAATATATTCCCATGTTCATTCCTATCAATAGATTTCAAGTAAAGCAAAATTTGTACTATTGAATTCTCCTAGCAAAACAAGAAAAGGGGATAGGGAAATGACTTGTTTGTAATTTTATTTAATAATTATTTCAAAATCAAAGCAATAGAACAAGGCTACCTTTAACTGAATGTCACAGATTACCATTTACTGTGAAATTGATAAGATACACCTCTTCTCTCTTCCTCCTTTTATGCAGTTTAGCAAGAGTTTAATCATCACTAGATCCTTGATAGGCAAACATCTTGTCATCTTTGCCCACATCACACCTTATGAGTAGCTACAGCAAGCATGCTTTTTAAATTTGAATTTTCCTTCAAAAACGAGTCATTGTCTTATCCTACAACTATATCAGCACAGGAAAACACACAGAAAAAATCTATACTGATGGCACAATATTTGTCATAACAAAAACTCTGGAGACAATTTCAATATCTCTCAAGAATGACTCAGGTATAGCTTTTCCAGTAGGCTACACTCTTAAGGCAACTGTTGAATAAGACACCTCTCTATGTATTACACAGAAAACTCTGCAAGGCACGTTAAATAAAAGTGCAAGGTACAGGACAATGTACAGTATGCTAAACTCATTTGATAAAATATCTTGGGAATGCATTCCCAAGTTCATGTATTTTCCATTCAAATAAATTGTTTAGAAATTCAACTTTCAGCAGCCACTGTCTCAAATGTTTGAGATTCTTTAAATGATCCTTTTGATTTTGTATTGTATCTGACTTCCAACTTCCAGCCTCCATTGTTAATAAAAGTGTCTAGTTTTGATAAATTCTTTTTTCACCTTTTTCAATGTGCAGAATCTCTTTGTGATATCCTTTCCTAAGTACTCAATTGGGCAGGAGGAAGAGGCATGCCGCCTCGGTGGGTTTCTTATTCTCCCATCCCCATTATGGGATGGGAAGCAAGGAGGGCTAGAACCAGGGCTGATGAGCTGATACATGCAGAGGTGAACTCTGGCCACAGCTGGTTCCTGTATAAATGAAGGGAGCCTATCACCAAGGCCTTTTAAATGACTGCTCCTCTCCCTTCTGAAAACAGAGGCCCTTCTTTCTTCTTTTTGAAGACAGGGCTTCATGTTTCCTTTCCTCTCTTGTGCTTTATTGGAGATGGCAGGCCTTAAAATTGGCTTTGGCACATCAGCCAGCTAGCACAGGTAGGAAAAGAAGGTTTCTCCAGGGTAAGGAAATCGAAGCTTCCAAACAGAAGGAATGTAATAGCAGACCTCCTGCCAGTTCCCTTCTCAGGCAGGAACCAACCAAGCCTTGTGTCCTGTTGGCAAAACCCCTTGAAATTGAACCACTTCCGGGAATACAAAAACAACAAACATTCTAGGACATCTGTGTTACTTAATGAAACTTTTTAGACAAATTGATCAGTGACTTTCCTCTGGAATGCCTTGGACCCAACATTTTGTCCTTTTGATGTAGACTTTTTGAATATTACAGAATAGGTGTGAATTGAGACAGTTGCTCTCTCCTTCAGAGAGAGTATCAGATCTGTCAGTATCAAAGTTGGCAAATGAAAATACAGAGCCAGTTTAGGCTTCATTTCTGTGGGTTTTCTTCTACACAGTATATCCTATCCTTTTCCAGTGAACAGATATCTGGTTGGACAAAAATTGAAATAGTCAATTCACCTAGCAAGAGAAGCAAAGAACAAAAAGAGAGGATTTGTAATTTTTAGGTAATAATTATTTACAAAGCACAATAGTTGGAACAAGTCTTCCTGGCATGAAGTAGTATTTAAGATAGTTCAGATGCACTAATTTGGTACAAAATCTGCATGTATTTGTCAACTGTATTTATAAACCCACACAAACACACCCCTACACACCCCAGCACATACAACCTCTAAGATCACACTGCCAAAATTTATATTTCATGGCATTAAGTTAAATTTTATTTCAAGGACTGTCACAACCTAGAGATAAATAGGATCTAAGTACTGAGATAATACATTTTGGAAAATAATATTTTCATGATAAATCTTACATACCTATCATCATTCCAAAAGCTCCTTACACTCTAGAATTAAAATGGGGAAGGGTTTTACATTTAGGAAGTATAAGCTGAAAGTATTTATTTCAATTCAATATAGAATAAGCTGAAAGTATTTATTTCAATTCAATATAGAGTATTTCTCAGAGTCAAGATAACAACCAATGTGTACAAAAATTTACATGACAAGAGGAACAATAGACAATGTAGCACCTTTAGAAAAATAATTAAAAGATTTGTTGCATTTACAGGTAAGCGCCACATTGCAAATTTACAACACAGTAATTTACTGCAATCAATGACAGGAGAGTTCCACAAAGAAACAAAGCTCTTACACTCCAGATTTTCGGAAGGTATTATTGGAATGCTTAACTGTAACCACAGAATTTGTACATCCTTAAGGACTGAGCTCACAAAAGTCACAAATGGTTTTCATAGCATATATTATGTAAATGGAGTCCACTGTGTTCGGACAGCTGGCTTAGTGTCTCTGACAGGTGTGAAGCCTGGAAGAATTACTGGCTTGATGGTGATCTTTCTGTATCCGGCAAGACAGACCTTCTCCACAGTAACAACGCTGGAATATCTCCAGCCCATGGGAGCCTTTTCTCCTGTGTTTGGTGCATACTTGACCTTCCTTGAGAACAGGTTTACAGATCTTGGACCAGAAATGTCTAGCACAACACAACCCCGCAGCGCAGTCTGATGAGCGAAGACAGACAGAACCTTCTTGTCCTAGGGAGACAATAGGAAGAGTACCTGGTCACTGCTCAGCCTGTGTTATTTCATTAAGGTAATCCAAAAGGCACTGTAAATGTGCTAACAAAAAAGTCTTTAGATCCTTTCACCTACCTTTGGTATGATACATTCTTGAAGACAGTGTAGTTCTTCTGGAGTGCCCATCCAAGGTACTGTGTTCATTACCAAAGTTTTCAATAATGGTTTCCTCGATTTCCCCTCGATGGAAATGATTTTGATCAGAAGGCATGCATATCCCTAAGGAAGCAGGAGATAGTGATTAACTCCAGAGCTGTAATGTGTTCCTGCTAATAGCTGTGACAGTGGCAGTCTGCTACGCCTATGCCAACTTGAGCTACCTCGTTGTAGTGACATTAAACATGAGCCAAACTTCCTAGTGTTAAAGCAAAACTCCACGATGGACAGAAGCATCAGTGTGTGCACTCTGCACTCATACATAACAGCCCCAATCTAGACACTTAAAATACTTTCTCAGCAACCGTGGTAGTGGCAATGAAATTTCTGCCCATTTTAATATCACCCTTGGGGTAAGAAAAATAAAATCAGTCACTTAAATTGTATTTAAAAACAACTTTTCTGCCCTCCATGCTATAAGGATTCTGCCAGACTAAGTTAAGCAAATGCAATGCCTGCTGTCTGGAAGATTACAATCTTTTCCACCAGTTACTTTACTGTATAATTTCTATATTACAGAGAGATTTAGTTAGTTCATCCCAGAGTATTATTGGGTCCTAAGGAGGATCGCCACCCTTAAGTTTATTTCTGGAGCCTTCTTGGGCTGAGTCTACCTCTCTGAGACATGAAAATTTCGTGGATCTGTGGTTGGGGGGAGGAGTACTTATTTTAAGGTAGCAGGAGGTAGAGGCAGATAAAGATGGAGAAGCCAGGATGTGAGGGCATCAGGATCTCCTTTAAGAATGATCTGCACAGGTAAATCGCTTGCAATGACAACAGCTTGAACGCGGATCTTGAAAGAGACTATCTGGCAGAGCTATCAGAAGCCCGGCAAGAAAAATGGAAAAGGCAACTAAATGCTCATTCTGATTTCCTTGGGGTCTCTGTAAGTTCCACCTCTCTGCCCATCTTCATTCTCAAGTTGTATCAAGGCTCTCTAGACAAATTCTTATGGAAGTGTCCACTCCGAGGTAAGACGCCCTCTTAAGTCATCGAGGGGCACAAAGGGATATAGGAGCTCCAGGACCTCCGTACTTATCTTTGCTTCCAGGTTAAACACTGGCCTGAAATCCTTTCTGGGGAACCTCGCACGTTGAACTCCCATTGGCAAGGCAGTGCCAAAGTGTCCTCAGCTGAGAGCATTGTCTCTCAGCTGTAGGCGCGCTAGCAGAGGATGGTTTGAGTCCGAAAGAGAGCTGCCCGACTCACCGTTTTTGCAGTGATTCCCAGGGCAGCACATCGCGTGACGCATGCAGCGCTTTCGGAGCTTGCGACAGGCTAGGCAGATCTGCGCACCGGCTCCGCGGGCGGGACTCGCGCAGTACTCGTCGGCGCTGCACTCCTCGTCCTCCGCGCACGGGTATGGCTGCGGGAAGGGGCCGGGAGAGGGTGAGGCCCTTGGGCACCCCGCACCACACTCCTGGGCTCCTCTCACTGCCTTTCAGCCCACCTCGCCAAAAACTTGCCGCTCACTGCTCCCAAAGGCAGTTGCCAGACGCACCTTCAACTACTCTGACACGCCCGTTCTGCGCCCTCGTCCCCAAATGAGACCCCTTTAGGATCGCCGCATTCCCGATCCCCAAGACCCTTCTCACCTGGTGGTTGTCAAGGGTCTGGAACTTGTTGCCGCCCTCAAAGGGAGTTCCGGGAGCCGCGCTGACGGCGGAGCCTGGGTGCCCGGCAGCGCCGCTCAGCGGTGGGGGCAGGTTCTTGATGGCGTTGGAATTGAGGACGAAGTTCAAGGTGGCGCTCACCCCCAGCAGAGGGTGACCGCAAAGAGCCGCAGCGGCCAGGGCGACCCAGAACCGGGCAGCACCCTCTGTGCGCAGAGCCGTCATCTCAGGACTCAAGGGGGAGAGAGAGAAAGGAGAAAGGAGGACTGTCACTGTGCGCGCCTGGTCCCCACTGAGCTGTGTTGGCGCAGCTGCAGAGACGGGGCTCGGAGCGCCTCCACCAGCCCCAGAGTCCTGACCCTGACTGCAGGGCTCTGCGCCGCCACCGCCGCCGAGGCTGCCTTTATACTGCGGGCTCCGAGCATTCCGGCCCCTCCGGGGAAAACAACAAAGCCGGATTGGGATTTCAAAGCGTTGGGAGGGGCTGGAAGGGGGTGTGTTTGTGTACATGAAGGGGAGCCTGTGACACTCTTCACCCCACCCCTCCCTTGCGAAGATCCTGCCCCTGTCCGCTCACCTTGGGGTGACGGTAATCAGCGAGCATTAGAGGAGACAACTTTAATAAATGCGGGAAGTGGGAGGAACCTCGGGAACTCGGGTGCCCTTGCCTTGGAGTAGGAGTATTGGGATCTGAAACGCTTTCAGACAGGCGCTGTGATATTCTCTGTAAAGCCACTTTTCTCTTCTCTTCTTTACGCTAGTACTATTTTTTTTAATTGTGCACATAATATTTATACAACCTAATCAGTAATTCAGAGCCCCTATGAAAACGAGAGGGCCAGGTGGCTGCTGCGAGTTGCTGATTAACCCTTTAGGGTCACGATTTGCAGATGTGGGGTGAGATCCTTGGCTTTAAGTTCGTTTAATTCCAGTCCCCCCTCCTCCTTCCCCTTCCCCCGCCCCCACGAGAAAAATGTGCAAAGAGAGGGGCATTTGCACATCAAACGAGGGTAAGAAGGAAGAAGAACGAATGCTCTTTTGATGGGAAGTTTAGAGAGGGAGGCGAGAGACTGGTGTTTGGAAATTAGATCAGGGGCGGAGGGAAGAGGGAAATGACCATCCGATAATCAAGCTATTTAATGTCCTTTGAATCTGAGCAGTCGCGGCTGTAGATGAACTTGATTAGGCAGACACGCAAGATCAAAGTGGCCGGAGCGAAAGCCGACAGGGTCCAACGACTGGGCCAGTGGTCCTTCCCTGATTCTCCCTTCTCGAGGGTGGGTTAACTCAAGGAGATAAGAAACCCTTATGGCTTAGCGCCTGACTTCCTCATTAGGAGCTCGTATTGCAAAGCTAGAGAACGCCTGTGTTTGATCCCAAGTCACCCCGTTCCTGGGACCCGCTCTGGGGAGATGAGAGACTAGCTTCAGGAAAGGGAAAGCTGAAAGTGAGTTTATCATCATTTAAAGCGGTGTTTAAAAATAATAAAGCAAGGCTAGTGTGTAAGAATGTCGTCCTGCTGATGCATTGCAAGTAATTGATTCAACAAAAATATGTTGGAAGCCTAATGCCCTAGCAGTGGTCTGTCCTTCGCTTTGTTGCCCTCTGGAGGAGGGGGTGGGCTACATTGAATACAAATAGTCTGACTAAAGTAATAGTGAAAGATAATAAACGTACACAGTTCTTTTTAAAGCAGGTTGATATTGTAAGTATCAGAAGATAGAAAACTGCTATGTGAATTTAGAAAAAGATGATTGAATAATCACTGTGGAGTAAAAAAGATTAGGATATATTTATTTTGTGCTCCCTAACCTCCAGGGTATTTATAATCACTTTGCTTAATTACCTACAATATTCATTACTGAGAACACTACCAAGGGTAACACCTGGTGGTCTTGAAGTAGTATAATAATCCAAAAGTTGAGAGGGAAAGAGGTGATTTTAAAAAGAAGTTTGCAGTGGTCTATGTTCTACTTCCTTGGGTTTCAGAGGTCATAGTAAGACTATCTTCTAAACAATTATATAATAATGCCTCTATTTCCACTGGTGCCCTTCCCTCCTATCCCGAGCTCTATCCTGTGAAATCTCCTCTGGCTTACTGATAATTCTTCCTCAAAATTCCAACATGGATTAACTCTCACCTATTTCTTCAGATTTTGTTAAGAAAGTGTATAATGACCCAGACTTGGCTACTACTCTAAAAAATTTTGGAGCAAATTGAAATTTGGAAACAAAGGGGAGGTTGTTTATATTGGCTTTTGAAAAATGAGCTTAAGAAATGAACAAGTCAGTACACCTTTTGAGAATCAGCAATGAACCAGGTCTCCCCTGGGCAGATGCTATCACCCTCAGCCAAGATGAAGTTTACATGATTATAGATGGAGAGATATTCTAGCATAAAAAGGTAAAGGCATAGGGGATTTTGGGTGTTATATTATCACTTGCAGAATATTGACAATAATGCCAGTAATCAGTGTATTGAGCTTCCATGTGGTAGATAATCTAGAGTCTGTCTTAAATTCTTACAGTGCAATAATGTGGAGAAAGATTCCCATGCCCTTGGGATGTGTTTAAAATGTTTCTTCCTAGGCCCATTCTCCTATTTAAATGTTTAAATACAAAATATGCTTTACCACACTTAAAGCAAATTTCTTTTCCTCTTTTTTGGAAGAGATGATACATGTGAATCCATTTAATGAACTTAGTCCATTAAGAGCTTGAATTCACAAATGAAAGCATTGTCTAGAGACCAAAAAAAAAACAAAAAAAGGAACAGTTTCATAAGTAAAAGGAAAACTTAAACAAAAAGCCACGTTACATAAATTCAGTCTTAATCCTTGACCATGTACATCTGATATGGTCTGATGCTCATTAAACTTGGACAGAGGCTGATACACTCAGTTTGGGGAGGTAAGTCAATAGTAGGGTTTCATGATCAAATCCTTCCCTACTTCCCACATTCCTCCTGTAATCATGATTTGAAAGCTAATATTCATGATTTGGTCAATATCTGAGTTCCTGCTATGAGTTAAGCACTGTATGTGATACTGTATGAAAAGAGATGAGTATCACGTTAGTGCTGGCATTAGTCAGCTCTCTTGTGTCTGACTTTTTGTGACCCTGTGGGTGATAGCCTGCCAGGCTCCTCTATCCATGGAATTCTCCAAGCAAGAATACTGGAGTGGGTTGCCATTCCCTTCTCCAGGGAATCTTCCCAACCCGGGTCTCCTGCATTGCAGGCAGATTCTTTACTGCCTGAGCTATCAGTCCATGGGATTGCAAAGAACTGGTCATGACTGAGTGACTAACACTCATGTTATCTATCTGCAAATAATGTAGTGGGGGGAGGAAGTAAGCTCTTAAATTATACAGGAATGAACTTTTGTAGGAGGTCCTTAGAGAGATCTGAGTCTGTAGCAGGCCAACCTTTTGTACCAAATGGAAAAATTTAGTTTGTCAATGGAATCTCCATTTGAAAATTCTTTTCATGATTGAGTTTGCTTAGTGGCCACAAAAGAGCAGGATGAGTAAGGAGGCTTACCAAGAACATACAGTTTTTATTCAGTGAGTTCCCATTACATGCAGAATGCTACTCTACTTCCTTTGGGAGCATGCCCACAAAATATTACAGGCAGTCTTTTTGTCCTCAGAAAGCTTTCTATCTGTGAGTAGTTGGAGAAACAAATATACCTACATGGAATGGGGGAAGAACTCCTCCAAAATAGACTATTCTTTGTTAACATGGAGAAGATAATATTTAGAGACATATTAAGTCTAGGAAATGTGACCAACACGTCTCGGGGAATAGAATGTTCTGATGACTGAGTCTCTCTAAGCAGATAGATGACAGAGGTGATAGGAATCAGGGCAGGTGGATTTAGTTGATTTGTTGTTGTTCAGTCACTAAGTCGTGTCTGACTCTGGGACCCTATGGACTGCAGCATGCCAGGATCCCCTGTCCTTCACTATCTCTTGCAGTTTGCTCAAATCCATGGCCACTGAGTCAGGGATCTAACCATCTCATCTCTGCCACCCACTTCTCCTGCCTTCAATCTTTCCCAGCATCAGGGTCTTTTCCAGTGATTTGGTTCTTTGCATCAGGTGGCCAAAGTATTGGAGCTTCAACTTCAGCATCAGTCCTTCCAATGAATTTTCAGGTCTGATTTCCTTTAGGATTAGCTTGTTTGATTTCCTTGCTGTCCACGGGACTCTCAAGAGTCTTGTCCAACACCACAGTTCAAAAGCATTAATTCTTTGGTACTCAGCCTTCTCTATGGTCCAACTCTCACATCCATACATGACTACTGGAAAAACTATAACTTTGACTAAACGGACCTTTGTTGGTAAAGTAATGTTTCTGCTTTTTAATATGCTGTCTAGGTTGGTCATAGCTTGGTCTCCCAAGAAGCAAGCATCTTTTAATTTCACAGCTGCAGTCACTGTCCACAGTGATTTTGGAGCCCAAGAAAATAAAATCTGTCACTGCTTGCACTTTTCCCCCTTCTATTTGCCATGAAGTGATAGGACTGAATGCCATGATCTTGGGTTTTTGAGTGTTGAGTTTTAAGCCAGCCTTTTCACTCTCCTCTTTCACCCCCATCAAGAGGCTCTTTAGTTTCTCTTCACTTTCTGCCACTAGAGTGGTATCATCTGCATATCTGAGGTTGTTGGTACTTCTCCCAGCCTAGTTTATTTCATTCTGAAGGGAAAGCCTACCTCTTATTTGATCTGGTGTAAATAGAACCATAATCAATGCAATAAGTTTAATATTGTTCATTAGATTTTTAAATGGGTGAAATATTTACCAATGTGGGATTGAACCACATAACTCATAAAGGGCATACTGTGTGCCTTCCTCACATTCTAAGTGCTGAGTGTCTGCCATGGGATATTCATCAACCTTTTAATCCATAAGGGAGACAGACAAATAAATACCATAGGATTTGCAAGCTAGTTTTTATCTTTGCTGTTTCAGATTCTTAGGTGACTGCTACATTTAAAATTCATTACGTAACTCTCTTCTTCTGCCCTCTCTCCCCTTCTTCCTCCTTCTTAGCTTCTTTCTCATTGTTAAATCAAAGGGAGCAGATCTGTTGTCATATAATTTTGCTTCACTGGGAAAACACTGAATAAATGTCATTTATGGTGAGTGTTGTCAACATTTTTGGAGGTACTGCTCTTGAATTTTTAGTAGGGATTCCTCATTCTTTAGGATAGTGTGTGTG